CAATGATTATACTTGGTTCATATATCATTGAATGAAATGTTCAACTAACAAACACAGGATTTTTGAGGTAAATCAAAACTTCAGCAAGGTTTTTCCCGTTTCATCTCAATCTCTTTTATAGGATGAATATTCACCATACAAGACACCAAAATCAGTTTTTTATTTCCAATTAGTTGGGATTTGGTATGCATTTCTGGAAAATTTACTCAACATCGTTCTTTTGTTGTTCGGAATTTGAGAAGCCGAATCAAACTTTAATTTCAACAAAAAGTAGAGTCATATTCTCAATCTTAGAAAAAAATCATGTCTATGGGCTAAATTGTCTCAAAAATACACAGCAAAAATACTCAGATATCAAAAACTTTTGTTTAGCTGATCCATTGCAGAGAATAAATTAATCTTATATATATATGTGTTTGTACATTGACAACTTTCATTGAAATATTATTGTCATTAGTTGGATCGAATAAAAGATAATCGTATGTGCATCATGAAAGGGTGGCATGTGTCAAATAGAACATTGCAATATTGAAAGTGTTGCATGGCTCAATGACAAGGAACTCATTCTGTTATTGGACATAGCTCATGCAGCCATACATACTAATAAAGAGGAGATGATTCACTACTTTTTACGAATAGGCATTAGTGGTTCTACAGTCACCTCAATCAAGCTCTTTTTGAAGTCTTATTCTGTATAGATTATTATAGTTTGTTTATAATTTCTATTTTTTTTTTGAGATCATTCGGAACAACCCTCATCTTTACCCTAAAAAAACATGTTATAATCTTTTTCCATGTGAAGCCATTGAGATAAATGATGAAATCAAAGCATCATGTTAATGTGCAAAAGAGAAATATTTTTTTCTCGTTTCTTTCTGTGTGTGCTTCTACATAAAATGAAAGATTGGAACGATCAACATCCATATACATGTTTGATTTTCATTTCTTGAAACAAACAATTGCAAACTCAACTGATATTGAAAGAGTGAATCGTTGAATAGTTGGTGAGTAGCTTTTGAATGTAAAATATTCTAAATTTTGTTTGAGATCTGCTTAAATAAATTCTTATTTCATTCATGTTATAA